AAGATGCAAGGCTAGATGAATGTAGAGCTGCTGGTCTTGTTGGTGTCTTTATAAAGAGACACCAACGACAATAAAGAACTATATGACTAACGCGACAAACTTGCTCTCTTCTTCTGAGTGACAAGCGAGTGTCAGAAGCGTAGTTGCGCAGCGACACTTTGTGGACCGGGGTATTTCTGTTTTACATTAAGCGCCATCTAATGTCAGGGAATGAATTTGCGTGTTCACTCGGCTCATCGTCAGCGAAAATCGCTTGGGTGTGAACACAAAAAACGCGTTGAAAAACGCTGAGCCGAGCCGATATTCGTCCCGGTGTGTACAAGGCTTAAAGCTTAAGTCAACTTTACTGTGAAGGAACAAATTTGAAAACATTGTTTGCTAGATGAGAAACTAAATTATAGCAATGAGGATAATATATTTTAGAAAATTATGAGACTATATATAAATAATTGTAAAATATATATAAAAATAGTTTTGATGTTTTGAAACGAAAAAAAAAAAGTAAACGTTTTTGTCCAGCGCAAAAACAATTAGTTACGTCATCAAACTTGAACACATAAATTAACATTAGACACATAACACATAATTAACGTTTCTGCAAAGCTTCAGCTAGACTATTATATTATAAATCTTTTTATTTATAATATATTACATTATATTATAAAACTATTAAAAGACTTGTGAGTGTGCAAAACAGTGTGCAAGTTTTTTAACTACTTTTATGACGCCTTTTTGTGATCATTGGAGCATGACAGACATGAACCGTCATTCAAAAGAGTCAGATTTAGCACTTCAAAATGTCTATTTAATGGTACACAAAAGAATTGAACGACATGAGAGTAAACTTTTAGTGAACTATTCCTTTAAAGTAGCACTGCTTTTCGAAACTTCCAGATTCATATTAAATGGGGAAAAGGGGAGTAAAGTCTGAACAGCACAGTGCTTAAACCTAGGATGTAATAATCGAATCCTAGATATAAATGTTCTTGTTTAGCTGATAGACATGGACTGCGTGAGAAGAATCCGACATGATTGAACAGCAGATGTTCCCGCGCAGACGCCACAGATTCAGCTGCCCAGTCAAAGTTCATCATTTCCAAGCGTTCGGTAGAAAAAAATCGCCAGTATTTTGAATGGCTCAAGACGAGAGAGCTGCAAACAGCTACCGGACAAATTTGTTCCCAGAATCCTATTTTAAGGGCCGGGTGAATTTAACTAACAGTTTTTTCTCTTCCTTTTCCCTCTTATGGACTGAAATTTCCTCAACAATATATAACGAAGGGGAAAGGGGGTGAACGTGTAGAAAAGCGTTTGTTTCGGCCCTGTACAAAATGTCTCAAGTCCTTTCATGGAGCAAATCAGAACAGAATGATCCATTAGATTTGGCCATTTCAGACTGGAGGACGGGAGAACCGGATTTCAAAGCCATGACCAAAGCTACTTTTCGTGCTGTAGAAAAATGTGATGTATTATTGTTGTTTCCACAGCATTCCTGGGCCACCCTCATAGTGATGTCATAATGGCGCGATTGTGCTCCTGTCTGATACAGTTTTCCTGAGGGAGAAGAAGATATTTCTGTATATTTTTATTGCTGAATATATTTCAGACTGATAATGTAAAAAAAGGCATGACTTTTCCAGCTGATCTCAGATTTTTCCATGATTTCTAAGCTATTATATATATCACCTCAGCTATGTTACATGCATCACTACGTCATATTTTAAGCAAACGCAAACGTGTTGGTGTACACTGGGTTTACGGTGTAGCAAGAGTCTGCAACTGTCCAGCTTTCCCCAGGAAATTGCTAAAGGGGTTGAGGGTATGTGTCAGTGTGCTGTGAATAGGACATCATGGTGCCAGATTTTTCCAGCCGAGGAAAATGTATGTTAACACCTAGTCTTTGCTCTTCCCTCACTTAATCATGAATGCCGAATGGCTGTCTATATTAAAAACCACATTAAACCAGTGACTGAAAAGAGGAAAACAGAAGCTAGAAGTTTTACTTCTGTGCTTTTGAAATATGGGAATTTTCTCATTGCCAAATACATTTCAAAAGTTCACCGTAAAGGGAAAAGTGATTTTCTTTGCAACACATCAAACAGAGATTGCAGCATAACTGAGCACTACATTTAAAAAGTGAGCGGTGTTAAAGGGATAAAACACACAAAAATTGAAGAATGTTGGCAACCAAACAGTTGATGGACCCCATTGACTTCCATAGTGTTTTTTTTTTGTTTTTTTTTACCTACTATGGAAGTCAATGGGGTCCATCAACTGTTTGGTTGCCAACATTCTTCAAAATATCTTCTTTTGTGTTTAGCAGAACAAAGAAATTGAAATTCATAAAGGTTTGGAACAACTTGAGGGTGAGTAAATGAAATAAAAGTAAACAGAAGAACAGAATTGAATAGCATGATCACATATTAATCAAATAAAGCATTGCATTTGCATTCATTGGTGAAGTACATTTTGCATGAGGAAGCAACGAAGGAATTTATTTTCACTTTCTGTGCAATTTCCATTATTGTTCTTATTAAAGGAATAGGTTGCCCAAACATGAAATCCCTTGTGTCGTTCCAAACACATTAGCTATTATGTTGAAGCTGGACAATCATAGTCACTATAAACATAGCGATCACTTCATAAAGATGCTTTAAAAATGTTCACTTTTGTGTTTCACAGAAAAAATAACAACATACAGGTTTAGAATGGCAAGTAAATGATACGTCTTGAAATTTGGGTGAACTATCCCTTTAAGTCAATACTCCAGAGATTGACTGCGCCACACAGCTCATGGCCGGACCGGTTCTGCTCCGGCGAGCAGCCATGCAGGAAAAGGTCAAACAAAATCTCTGAGACTGATTGGATAATGGCTGCATGGCCTCATGTTTGGAAGCCGTTAAGACTAAATCATCTGCGGTAGAAATGTCAGATTCTAAAAACATTTCTGTAGGGTTGGTACATGCCTTCTACCCAATCGGGGTGAATATATATCATGGATAACTATCTCTAGAATGTACATAAGAAGAGGGAAAACGTTGGGACCATTTTCACTGAAACCTTATGTTTTGACATAAAATGAAGAGGAAGTATTTCTGCACTACTTCTAGGTCACTAATAAACAGCAAGTAAATGATTGGCATTGATCACGTGACTCTTTGTGCAGACGGTCGAAGAGGCTCAAGATGCTCTTTGGATCATGTCAAAAACAAAATACTAAGAGATTCATGTTCATTTTCCAGTTCCAACTTTTAACTCAATTTGTTATGCTGACAATTTAATTTATAATGGAAAAGTTTGAATTAAATTAGAAAAGCAATTTACTAGTGGTCTCAGAAATTTGGATCCCACCCCGCCGTATTTTTACACTAATGTGAAACACGTTTTTGCACGTAATATTGCATTGCATCCATAAATGACACACATGGAAGCATTTACACCAAATTCACTAACCAGTCTGCTAATATTTCATCCTCATGAGAGGTCACAGACTCAATGATTGTAGAATAAACACCATTAAACTCTAATTTCCTTTGAAGTGTACATGACAGAGACCGCCGCAATGCATACTAAACACCAGAACGTGTTGATATGGCCCGACTTTGATCTTGTCAATGAGGAAAATCCATCTTTCCAAACATACAACGTGTCTCAAATTGCTAGCATTTCACTTCTGTGACGCATTTCTCATTGCAAGCTGATCGTCACTTCAGAGCATTATTTCCTTCTTGTGTGCAAGTACATTGACCTGGAGATAGAAATTTTTACTTCTATCTCTGATCAATATAGCAGTCCCTCATTTCCCAGTCACATTTTGTTACACAGCTTGGCCAAATTGGCCATGGGACGTTTTGTAACAAGTGTGCAATTTTTTTCGATCGAAGGGACATAAAACAAATTAATCTAGCACGGAAGTTAAAATGAAAGGATTTAGTGGAGACCTGCTGTCTCACAGGGTGTCCGGAGCACTAAAAATGTCAAACCTGAAGCCAATGCATTATAGGCCCACGTCTCCACGTGTGTGAGCTTGTGCTTCATCACCCACAGGAGAACTTTCCAGAGGGTCTGTTTATGGCATGCTTGTAAAGTAAAAATGCAGCGGTCTGGCCTATCAAAATCCTTTCATGATGTGGTTTGAATTTGTCTGGCCGCCTGGTTCAATCATTCCAACCGCATCCCATTCATGAAGGACGGAGTTTGAAAAGATTCATAAAATTGGCTTTTTCAGCTTCCAAACTTCCCATATGGGTTGTAACACACTCTCGTACACATTTACATATTTATCAGGGTCCCTGCAGTTGCACCTTGTTCAATACAGTTCAATACAGAAACTATTCAATCCTAATGCATAGTACATAGGCTTATGTTTGCCCTGAATGTCTGACGAAGCAAAAAAAAAAAAACCCGTATTGATCTGCCTTGAAATGTTTCAGTTTCATTTCAGCTTGAACTGACCCTAAAACGGTTATAATTGTGAAAATGATCATAGATCTTTAAACTTAAAATGAAAACCCAACATATTTGCTACAGTATATAGACAGACAGGCAGAAAGACATATACATAAAGTATACTACAACATACAGTTTGTCAACAACTTTACAGTACAACATTACAAAAAAATTAACCAAAAAGTCATCAAGCATACAATATGGAGACAAAATGCTACTTACCGCATTAAATCATGAATTATGACCGTAGGGTTCACATGAGGATGTTGGAACTGAAGTGAAGTGAACCTCACCAGATCATGTCATTTCACATCGAACTCCGACGAGAATTTACCAATTCTACTATGGCGAAGGTTTGCCTCTTACTATTCATGATCCATGTATTAGCCATTTGACGAATACCAAGCGACGTCAGAAAAACGTAATTAATATTTAAAGAAAAAGCGTTTTCTATAGGAAGGTCAGCGTGCGACGTCAGAATAATTTAACTAATGTTTTTAAGAGATTAATTTGCCATTGGAAGGCTGACAGCTACGTCATCGCGATCTAATTAATATTCGAATGATGAACCGTTGCCGTAGGATTAGCGTTTCGCGCGCTGTCTATCTTGAGGTAAGGAACGTAACGTCGAATTAACAGCTAAAACTATGACTAAAACTTGATGAGTTTGTTCCAAGACCACATGGATGCTGTCAATCCATCATCTGAGAGAGAAAAAAGCGGGATGGAGGGAGAGATTGACTGAGACATGCCTAATTATTGTCCCAGAGGATCCTCACGGTCCATTTATGAATCACCTCAGCGCGTTTTTCTCCAGCTCAGGAGAATTCTTCACCATGGCAATAACATTAGCCTTTAGCCAGAGGAGGAAAGCTTTTAGTGCCTAATGCTCTCTCTCTCTCTCTCTCTCTCTCTCTCTCTCTCTCTCTCTCTCTCTCTCTCTCTCTCTCTCTCTCTCTCTCTCTCTCTCTCTCTCTCTCCTCTTTTTGGCCTCTTGACTGTTTTATTCCTTCAAGGAAAAGTTCACCGATAAATGAAAATTCTGTCAGTCATTAATTATTCATCCTCATATCATTCCATACATGGATGTTGTTAAATTTTAAGTGTGGAGCACTGTAAAAGAAAATATCTTAAAATATAATCTTCAAAGCAAGAGTCAAATGGTGTTATAAAAAACTACCACAGAACAAATTAACAGCAATACTGGAGTAAGTAGGCTACATAAAGACTGAACATTTATTTAATTTTAGGCTACACGCTATGCCATAAAGGAGCACTATCTGTCCTGTCAACTAATCAGAATGTGTGCAAACATTTTGAGCTACAGTAATAATTTTGGTTTTATTTGCATCACATTTTAATGCTCAAATGTTTTTCAGGGAGAGATGGAAAAAATCATCATGTTCCAGATTAAAATGTTCGATGCTAACAATTTCTGACAAGAGTCGTCGTTTTTTCCTTTCTAAATTTACTGGCAGAAGATCTCAAGAACTCTTAAAATCTGAACTTAATAAGGAAGTGTTCGCATAAACTGACAATTTAAACAGTCCCATCAGTCCTCTTTCCGTAATGCTGCAGTGAAACCTCAGCTATGTTGGAAAGAAATAGCATAGAGTGATGTAGATGTTGTCTGTGGCCATTTCAGATCTGCGTGATGATAACTAATACGGACCAAATTTAACCCTCCAGTAACTGTTTAAACATTTAAATTTTGTGGCAACCAAACCTGAGATAAACATTTTTTTACAACATTTCTTTCAGATTGTCCACAAAAACCACTGTATGATATTTGCAGTGACATGGAGCGGTGGAACTTTTGCTAGCCTTGGTTTGTTTGTTTTGCCGGCGTCTTTGCCAGCGTAGTGAAGAAGAAGTGTGGCTTGTTTTGGTCCGAGTGGGCAGTGGTTGTGCAGATGCCATGCCAGCCCGTCGCTCTGCTCGGAAGAAACGCCCACACACACACACACACACACACACAAAGACACAGTGCCGTGTAGACGGAGGCCTTGGCGGTATGTGGCAGATACCCAGAGCTGCAACCCACTCCAATGCGCCAAGAAGAATCCCTCTGTTCATGAGGTGGACCATCACGACAGACTAAACAAGGGAAAAGGTCTTTCTCTTGTGTAATCTGAAAAGAATGAAAGACTTCCCATGGCATAGATAGACAATGAAATAACAAGAATTCTCTCTGATATACAGTAAGTTGCATGCAAGTTTTGAAGTTTTGATGATAACTTTGAAATTGGTTGGAACATGCAATCTAATTCATTTGTGCATCACTCATTTCTATAGGACTACACAAATCTGCAAGGCTCCACCATGTGGTCAAGATGCATAATTGTTGCCAAACATAACAACTGATTCCCTGAAATCGGTCTACAGAACCACAACAGTCTAAGCTGCACTAGGATGTTTTTTCGATCTGTGCAGATTTTTATATAAAACATATTATTATATTTTTTAAGGTTTTGTCATTTTTTTTAATGAATATGTCAATGTTAAAATGCTTTGTCCTGTCCCAGCTTGAAATGCAGAGACGTCGGAGCTGTGGTACAGTGGATTGTGCACATAATCGGGATGTTTAAGTGATCTTCGCTCACGACGACCCCACACTCATTCACTATCTTATAAAATAAAGTAAAAAAAAAAAGCCCCAAAGCAGCAACTGTAAGTAACACATTCAACGGGTTATGTGTCTTAAACCTGTATGAATCTGCTTGTAAGGCAGGTAAGTCTAGCAAACAGCTTTGTCTTTGTTCCCTTTTGAAACTCTTTGCACTTCATTATCAGGGGTTTTGAGACAATAATACAGAACATTAACTATACACTACACTGTAAAAAACAATTGTGATTTTAACGGTAAAACACTGTAAAAATGCTACAGTGCAAAATTGTTAATTGGTTAACAGAAAGTTTCCATACTATATACGGTAAATAACTGATAGATCTCATGGTACATTTAATACCGTTAAATTTACAGTTTTTGAAAGTGAAAAAGAACAACTCATTGTATAATTTACAGTGAAAAAACATAAATTGACATTCCCACAATTCCCTGTGTGACACTTAACATTTTATGTATTTTTGTTGAAATAACTGTTTCCTCATAGTTTTCTTGGTTTTTTTTCTAATCAGTTATGTACATTAGGGTTTTATGTTACATTTAATGTTGTTAAATTAATGTTTATTGCATTTTTTTTAAATTTCATGTGTGTTACCATGATGGTGCGAATGACACTGTGCAGCTTCTATAAGTATTAACCGTTTTGTGGAAGATTTGCTTGTGGTGAGCTTTGATTGAACATCGTGACTTTTATCTCTGCTGTGATGATTGTTGGTTGTCAATGCATTACAATGGTACAAAACAGATATCAATACTTCAATAGGTTGGTAAATTAATATTATATCAGATAATGAAATACAGTTTTTTACTGTAAATTTTAAATTAAGTCTGTAAAACCAATAACGTTGCTACCGTATTTTTGACGGTAAAGTTCTGGCAACCACAGCTGCCGTTTTTTTACCATAAAAAATACGGTTTTATTTTTTACAGTGTACACTAAACATTGTAAACTGACCACCTTCCATCAAACTTGCAGAGAACTCTGGTCTGTTACTCTCTTTATTTTCTTATTTTGTCTACACTGTAAAAAAAAAAACTGTAGAAATTACAGTATTACTGGCAGCTGCTTGCCAGTAACTTACTGTAGTTTTAAATTGATGTTATTTACTGGCAACAGTTTGTTCAAAGTTAAATGAACATTAAACATTAACAAGTCTTTATCTTTACAGAATAAAACTAAAATAACAGCCTCATGCAAAGCATTCTGGGAACCAAAATCTGAAGGAAAAAAACAGAAAAAGGTTGATGAAGATTTCTGGTTCCCAGAATGCTTTGCATTAGATTGTTATTTTATAATTTTATTCTGTAAAGACAAAGACTTGTTAATGTTTAATGTTCATTTAACTTTGAACAAACTGTTGCCAGTAAATATACATCAATTTAAATCTACAGTAAGTTACTGGCAAACAGCTGCATAAAATACAGCAATTGTTTTACAGTGTATCTTTTAATTCTATATCGTGGATGATGAGAGAGCCTGATTCAGAATGATCACATCTGTGGTTACATGCATCCTCTTGAGCAGATGAACATAAAATCCTAAAAGACTGGCTGTACTGGAGGCTCCAGACCACAGATGGGCCTCCACATCTGGCAGCCACCCCTGCGCTCACATCAAAGTCCGATCCTGGATGGTGAGGACAGGTGGCATGGTAATCCCATTCGAGAGGCCCGTGGACATCCAGACTTTTGTAGCATATGCAACTGGGGTGGGAATCTTATGGTACCTAATGATTCGATTAAACACCGATCCTCCATTTGATATGTGCATAGATTTGATTGTAGTTACCGTTGTGTTACTTTTCTTATTTGACTGCAGTAGACAGTTAAATAGGTCTAGAAGAAGAGAAAAACCTACTGAATTAAATGTGAACCTTGAAATTTGTTTAGTTTTTCTTCCCATTTTAATCAACCCCAATATTATAAAACAAATGCCCTTTAAGCTGACTACAATCATTAAACAGTCTTCTGTAATAAAGCAAGGCAGGCAATTTTATTATTTTCTTTATATTAAAAATAAGAACAAAAAAGCTATTTACAAACAATAGGACAAATACTTTAGAAAATAAAAATAAAATAAACTTTTCAGGTACAGTAACAAGAAATGCTACCGAAATTGAATAATGAAATGTAAAAATAAAACACTGTATAGTCTTCACTGTATAAATTAAATATAAATTGATTCATATTAAAGATAAAAAAGGATTTAGTCAAAAGCAGTGAGTGTTTTTTTTTAATTAACATTAATGAAACAGATGGCAACAGTTGACGAGGCTGCTGTCCCTTTAAGAATGAATGCACGGATCTAATATACTGTTACACATCCTATTTTCCTGACACACATCCTGTGTCCGTCAGCGCGATCACCTCATTGAGTCCTTGCTCGCGGCTTATTGTGATTAACGACAATAACTTTAAGTAGTACTGCGAAGTTAAAGTGCAACACTTAGAAAATCAATTTTTTAAATTTGCGAATCGAAGCAAATCGGAAGAAGATAGAATCGCGATTCATATATAAATAGATTATTTCCCGCACCCCCTCAGTTCAGGATGGTGGATCACATATCATCCTGACGAATGCCTCACCGCAGCTGATCTGAGATCATTGTTTTGCCTGTTCTGCTGGGCGGCGTGAACTTCAAACCCCCTCCGCCTTTAAGAGCGTGCTTGACGTGACCAATTCATCATCTCTCCCTCACCGCTCCATCATTCACACAGGCAATCCATCAAGACCAGACGCTGAGACAAGGCAGGGGAGAACAGAGCCGCCTCGAATGAGACGGTAATGCTGTCTGCAGCCATTGCTCAAGGGAAACGCTTGACGTTACCACTTTAAGAGTAGTGTTGCGGTTTTAATACGGATGTAGATTATATCTCAATTACAGCCTTGTCCTCTAAACACTGGACTGGATGCACATAAGAAATTGTTAGATGTTTAGAAAAGCACTTCCCTGCTTTGTTAACAGCCTGACCTTTGCGAGACCTTTAAACTAGACGTTAATCTAGACTTGCTTATTATATCCATAAGAGCACCATTTATTCATAGTTTGTAAACACGGACGGCGATCTGGCAACCGGGCTCTTTTTCATCACTTGTGGCTATGTTGTTTCTTCATTTCCTGCGTAGAGCCTTCCAGATTTGTGTCTGGATCACTGACAGCATCTCAACAACGTACAAACACTTCCTGATGTCTCCAAATCCTCAGGTAGTCCAGAACTTATGGCCACTAATTAGGATCTGATGGTGTGATTTAAATAAGGTATTTAACTCTTTGTTGCCCTGGAGCTAAAAGGATCAAGATCCTCTCCATCTCGGGCATTCGTATGAATTTGGTTTAAATCACAGTTAATATGAGCCAACACTTTTAAAATGACCTTGAGGACAAAAGAAAACCGTGGCTTGAAGACAATAATATCTTTATGCACATCTTGCCATGATTCATAACTGAATCACAAACAAATGCAAACCGTATCAGGCCCAGAAAAATATATTCCAGTCCTACTTTTTCTCTGATGAAACATGAAAATAAAAACCTTGGACTCTGGGATATGTGCCATTCAAAATAATTGACTAATCGGTTATGCAAAAAGGGAGGGTCTTTGATTCAATCACTTACTGGTTTGTTTAGTAATCTTGTCAGTACAGTACTGTACGCCAGTTGGTGCTTCCAGTAACTGTTTTTGTGTATTAAATGCAAAAGTAGTTTAGATTAATTCAAAAACACATTCAAAACAAGTTTCATTTATCTTAGCTTTGGGATCATTCTTTCTCTTTTTTTGTAGAACGAGACTGGCATACAACTATTAAAATATTCAATTGAACAAAACAGAAACATAATTGCAGCACTGATAAAACTTAGTGAGACACAATTACGTGTCAACAGGGTTATTTAAGTGGAATATCGTGACATTTTGCAGAAGTGGGCTGTTATCATTGTTTTCTTCTGAAAAGTGATGTGAAACAAATTTCTTACTCATTGTTTATGATATTGCGTTCCCTTTACTACTACGCAAGACAAATATGTGTTGCACAGCAGCCTGATTCAATCAGAACAGTTTTGATGCATCATAATACATCTGTGTCATACACACAAAGTTCGAATATATAGCGTGTCTTCTGTTTGTCGCTCTAAAGGTCATACACTGATTTAATGTCAAGCCTGAAGCGTTTTTGTATTAAAACACAGACCATAGACATCACGTCCTGTTCTTTGCTCTTTTAGAATAAATGGCTTCTTTTAGAGCCATATAGTGGGAGTTTAATTGCAGCATATTAAATATGTTTTTATTACAGTAACTGCCGAGCCCACACACATACCTCTGACTTGCTGCAATCTGTTTTGATGCTTGGCCAGTGCGTTCCTTGCTAAAAAATTAGGTTCTTAGAACATTTTGCAAATGTTCCAATTAAGTTATGAAAATTTTATTTTGGATTGTTCTCTCTTTAAATTTTTTTTTTTTTTTTTTTTAATACAACTTTTGAATGTTCTCTGAACGTTCTAAAACAAGTGTGTATTAACGTTTAAATTGTTACATGAACTTCTAACATTCCATGAACGATGTATAAATAATATTTTGAGAATGTTTTGAAAGACCAGGTAATTTTGAACAAATGTTCTGATATGGTTACTGGAAGAACGTTTATTAGTTCATCACATTAGCCTAAGTTATGTGAACAGTTCTGGTTCCCTGTTAGCTGCATCACATTAGATTAAAGAGAAAAAAACATTATGCCAATTTTGTGACGTACAAGAAGTGCAATTATAACGTTATGTTTCAAAAGAGCTTTGGTCAGCCACATCATTGCAGCATCACAATAAAAAGACAACACGTTCAACATGAAACGGGGTCATTAGGTGTATATAGGCCTAATGTAATATATTTTTCAAATGCACAATTTATACAATTCGGCAAATCGTCATTTATCTAACCAAACTATAATGGCGAACAAGATATT